CTAAAAGAATTGTCGTGATTCGGCGTAGTTCAGGAACCCCCCCGCTGGCTAGGCTCCGCATCGCTGGGGGATGGGCGCATGATTCCCATGTTTTGCAGTATGTGGTAGTTCCCCACATCCAAAGTGGGGTTCTTGTTTTCTCTGGACACCCCGCGCAGGAACAGGAACACACACACACACACACCCACTCACACTCACTCACACTCTCTCATCATCAACCTCATCAGCATCATCGATGATGCTCTCTCACATGCTTAGTCACTCACATACTCATCATCATCATCACTCGCACTCTCTCACACGCTCACGAACATCATCATCATCATCATCATCATCATCATCATCATCGGCATCGGCATCATCCTCATTCAAACATCATCATCGCCACCACCACTCACAATCAATCGTCATCCTCTTCACCACTCATCTTCACCACCACTCATCATCCTCATCCTCATCATCGTTGAGTAAATTGTGAGGAAGTCTCAGGCGGGAGCCCCCTCCCTATGGGGCCCGCAGATCATGTTGGTAATCCGAGCGGGTCATCGGAATCCTGTAACTGTCGTCACTTTTGAGCTCCCCAGGCCTGAAAATGGAGGAAGTCTCAGGCGGGAGCCTCGTCTGTGAGTGAATTGTGAGGAAGTCTCAGGCGGGAGCCCCCTCCCTATGGGGCCCGCAGATCATGTTGGTAATCCGAGCGGGTCATCGGAATCCTGTAACTGTCGTCACTTTTGGGCTCCCAAGCCTGAAATGGAGGAAGTCTCAGGCGGGAGCCTCGTCTGTGAGTGAACTGGAGGAAGTCTCAGGCGGGAGCTCCCTCCCTATGGGGCCCGCAGATCATGTTGGTAATCCGAGCGGGTCATCCAAAACCTGTAACAGTCGTCAATTTTGGGTTCTCGCGCTGCCAGAACGCAGCTCCCAGGCCACATTTTGGACGCAACAAGGAAGTTTTTGGGCTCCTCAGGTCGCCGAGGTGCTGCGACAGGGCGCCGAAGGCGCCGACGACGACGGCCAGGCCGAGGCGCGGGCGCGGAGCTTGCTGATGTTCAGGCCCAGCGAAAGGGAGTTCACATGGCAGAGCTCGGGGGCGCACAGCGTGCGCCGCTCGGGGTTCACCCTGACGCACGCGTCCTACCTGACCTCCACGCTGTCGCAGGGCCAGACGCTGCGCAAGGGCGTCACCATCGACTGCGCGAGAGACGAGGACGCTGGCCGCACGGGCATGTCGGACGAGCAGTGGTGGCTGCACCTCTACGTCATGTTCTCCCGCGCCACGTGCATGCGGAACATGCTGATCCTGCGGCCGCCGCCGCGAGAGTTCCTGGAGTGCGGGCCGCCGGCGTCCCTGCGGAAGGCGCTCCTGGAGTTCGACAAGAGAGCGGTTTTGTCCAGGGCGGAGGCGAAGCAGCTCGCGGCAGAGCTGGGCTTCGTGCTGCCTTCCGCCTGAGCGCGGCTGCGCCTCGCTCGAAGCCCGCGGGGTTGTCCCAACGGCTTGGTCTTGCGCGCCAACGGCTCGCGGGGTTGTCCCGACAGCCTGGCCCGCGGGGTTGTCCCAACGGCTGCGCGACGTGACCAGTAGAGAACGCGCCTGTGCTGGCCGTGGCGGCGACGGCGCCGAGGAACATCGACATGCGCGCTCATGCAACAGGAAGGGGAGGAGGTGGCGGGGCGCGGAACAAACAGGGGGGCGAGGATGGGGACAACGTAAGGAGTGGAAGGGGGGCCCGCGCCAAGGCGAGAGGAAATATACGCAGAAGAGACAGCCAGGACGCCTCACCAACCACGAGGACGACGGTGATGGCTTTTTCCAGATTCGCCCAGAGGATTCTTATGTGGGGTTCTTCCGTCGGAGTAATTTTTGGCCCATCCCGCCACCTTGCCTGGGCTGTGGGTTGCAGGCCTCTTGGGTGTTCGTTTGGATCTCGTGGGAGGCCTCTCGGGGGCCTCTTGGAAACAGTTTTGAAGCCTCTTGGGGGCTGTTTGGGGCCTCTGTTTGGGCCTCGTGGGTTCTTGGGGCCTCCTGGGGGCCTCTTGGGGCGGAAGGCTTGAATTGTCGGTCCGTGTTCCCCCTCTTGGGGCCGTCTTGGGCCGTCTTGGGGGCCGTTTGGGTGCGGTCTTGGGGGCCTCTGGGGCCACCTTGGGGCGTGGGAAGCCCAGGAACGCGAGAACGCGAAACACATCGAACATCATGCGGGAAATCAGTGATTTGTGCTTACTTGGGCCCTCGTGGGCTCCTCTTGGAGCGCTCTTGGGGTTTCTTTGGGGCCTCTTAAGCAGTCTTGGGGCCATCTTGGGCGTCTTGGAGCGCTGTTGTGCTGTCTTGGAGGCCTCTTGGACCCTTTTGCGCGCTTTCTGGCACCTGTGCCGCTGGGTGCTCTTGTGGCGCCCAAGGAAAACAGGCGGGCTGGCAGCCCGATCGTCACCACAGCCCGACGGAGCTGTGGAGGAGACTCCTGCCCTGTGGCTGGCCAACCACAATAGGTGCGGGCCCGCCGTGCAACCCCTGAGAGGCCCGATGGGGTTACTCGTAAGGGGTCCCCCGACGGGGGGGTTCAGGAACGAAAGTCCTCGGGCAGTGGGGTCTCCGCTGCTCGAGGCTGGCGGCCAAAGGGGGGTGGTGCCCGTGGCCGTGTCTCGGGGTGGCATCTCGAGGCACCTCGCAACGGCGGCGCAGATGTGACGCCTGGGGCGTGTCTTTGCTGCCATTCATGCTGCGAGGTCCGACTTCTTGTGCATGCATGCAGGCACCTTGGGCACCTCCCTTCGGGTTGTGTCGCCCAGGTGTTCTGTCCGGGCGCAAAAAACAGCCGGGCGTTTTCTGGGACCTCCTCGGTCCGTCTCCAGGCCCTCTGACCTCTGCCTGGCCTCTGGGCAAGGCATGCGGGGCAGGCCGGAAAAACGCAGGAACGCCTGCGAAATTTGAGAATTTGCGGGTCCAGCCACGAGAGTACTACAATCCCAGAGTCCTGCGTACAGAGAACACAGGACACAGGAGGATTTGGAGAAAAATTATTTCGCGTTTCGCGGCACGGTGGCGGATCATAATAAGCTGCGGCTCTGGCATTGCAAGAGTTGCGGACGATCTGCGGACTCTCAGATTCCCAGTCTCGGCAAGTTGTGCACCCAGGCCATCTCACCCACACGGGTTGTCGAACATTCAGGGAGGTGTGGGCCGAATAGTGAAGACTTTCGAGCGGGGCCGAGAAGATTGTCCGCGGCCGTCAGTCATGGTTGGTTGGCACTCTTTGACCCTGTCAGATGGGCATATCCATGATGGTCCATGCTCCTTTCGTTTTCTCGCAGAAGGTGCGGGAAGAAAGCGGCGCGAGCATACGATTTCGGAGGTCCGCGCGGAAGCGCCGCCAGAAGGAGGGCTACCGCGTCCCACCCTCGCCCTCAGAAATCGTGGGGGGTAGGGGTAGGGTTCGCACGTGGCCCCCTACGGGCAAGAACGCCCGGCGAGAAGAAATGGCAGCGCCTTGATCTTAGGGACCCACGGCTGGCGTGGGAAAGATGGCGTGTGCAGCGTGGCGCCGCCGGCCGGGGACAGCGTTTCCCAAGGAAGCCCTGGCAGGGCGACGGTGTGCACAGAAAGGGGTCCTCGCGGGAGCATCGCCCCGCAGTGGCAGCGTGTTTTTCGGAGATCGATGACGCGCGCTCTCTGTCCAACGCCAGCCGCAAGAGATCCGCGCAGAGCTTGGTTTCGGAAGTTTGTGCGTGTGCCGTGTGTTACCTACGCACTGCCGCGGGCTCTGGCGGCCCGTCTGGTTTGGTGCGTCCGTTCCCGGCGCGCGCGCGCCATTCTCCAGCGCCCCTTCGGGTGCTGCCAGGGGTGGTCCTGGCAC